GTTGCTGAGTGCAGCGTTAAATAACAAATAAACAAGCAAATAAAACAAAGAAACGTGCACCTGCCAAGTGACACAGTGATGTGGAATTAGTATATCAATACAATGATTGTGGAATAGACTGACAAGCGCGAATGTAAAAAATATCTGTTCAATTCAACTACAGTAGATTACGGTTATAACGAACCAAATTGATGGTTATATCGGTCGGTTCGTTACAAGAGTGTTCGTTATAACCGTAGTTCGTTATACGCATAGCTGACTAAAGACAGTTATATCAGTTTGTTCGCTACAAGGTGTTCGTTAAACAGAAGTTCGTTATACCACAGTAGTAGGGAATGATTGTACGTAGGACCAAGTCCAACAAAAGCCTCTGCAAAGCCTTATTCCCCAAATAAGGCTTTGGTCGGACCCTTAGCTCTTGCTACCATTACCCCTACTATAAAAAAGTTTGGGACGCTAGCGGGATACGAACTCCCGCGGTTGAAGTGTGTGGGATTGCGTATAACGTGCCGCTATGACATAGAAAGATAGAAAGGTTCTAAAAGTAGTAAAATGTCCCGGCAGCCACAATTCCCCAAGGGTGAAATCGAAAGATGATGTTGCGCTTCCTCCCTTGGGAATTGTGCCGGCTGCCTTTCTCTCACCATGAGAGTGCCCTCTCAGCTAAGTGCTTTTAAGCAACCCAACTGATATGATCTTGATTCCTTACCGAAACACCTCACATCACACAAAGTTGCAAGGAATCTCCTGAGGCAAAGGCGGGATACGAACCCACATGTATAGCTCTCCGCGCAAACTATACATAATGGGCCGCACCACTCAACCGATTGAGCTACCGGGGACATAGCTGAATCATCTCGGTTTAACGGGTCTATCCTGAACTAGCACTTTCCTGATCACGTGACACTATGCGGTAACACTGTGCCGTACGGTACGATCAATAATTCTTCTCTTACAAACCCTCTGCCCGGCCCATCCCTCAAGTAGTACAAGTTAGGCTCGTCTGCTTTAATGTCCACTCTATCTATGTTGTAAGTTTTGACTGACCATATAGGATCGGTGGCTCGCTTACGGCTATCACCCTCGTGTTCCCCGGCTGGTATAGATACCTCACTAGGGCCCTGTCTACACACTGTAAAACAAGTGTTACTGAATTAACACTATTATTAACACTATCTTGGTAACAGTAAATTAACATGTTAAAGTGTTAATACTGTTTAACACTAGTGTTAATTTAATAACATGTTAAAGTGTTTACAAGATTAACACATTAACATGTTTATTTGATAACGCTTGCTGGTAACACTTTTTCACACATTAACATGTTTATAAGGATGTAAGTGTTAATAATTTAACACAATTGTAAAGTAACAAAGAAATGTGATCCACACATTACTTCTTTGAGAAAGTTGGGCTGAAATGTACATCCAAGTGGGCTGAAATGTATATCCAAGTATTAACTTTCATCAATGGTTAACTCTAGAATAATTCCTGTTGTCTTCAGATATTGTGACATGCAGTTCCGCTATTGTTGAAAACCCTGAAACTTGATTAATCTCCTTGATATTACACTGAATGTGATAATTTCCCAAATGAAAAAAGACATGGTGACAAAGATTTATCTTCACATTCATTATGGTGTAATCAATATGAAAGCAAAAGGACTTAGTACAGTTTCAGGGTTCGATATAATACAACTAATAGTAATCAACCAAATAAATTAAAGCAGCAATCACAATTTCAATTGAATTTATTCATCGGATAAAAATCAAATCCTCATAAAAATTGAGCAAACTGTTACATTCAATGCACATAGGCAGATACGAGGAGTCCACAGAATCCTTCACAATACTGCATATTTATTTAGGGCACATGCAAAAATAACCCGGTAATACTGTTAATCCTTTAGTCTTGAGGAACAGAATGGTGAACGCTTGACTGAATTTTAACAGAACATGGATAATGGCATGTATTTTGAGGATAATCATTCCTTCCACGGCTGGGACCGTATCAAAATGGTATGCATATATACATTAATTAATGAAAAGAACTGATACATTGCAATACATATTGCAACTATCAGACAATGAACAATATAAGGGCAACACTGACAACACATATAAACAATATTGCTATTTGTAACCTAAAGTAGCTGCACAGTGTAGGCATCACCTTCAGAAATATACTATGGTGCTTTCATTTTTTGAGAATATAGGATCAAAATTGGCACTAGTCCTATAGCGCAGTCCAAATTGTCAAATAATACAGGTAGCCCAAGGACTAGTGAAACTACTGCTTTGTTTAAAGCCATCGTTATACATTACAAGGTAGACAGTGCCAAATAAAATTGAGTTTTAAACGCTGATAAAGCTTGAAATTAACTATTCTCTTTCTCCATTTGAGCATTAGAGCATAAAAAACTTCAAACTTCATGGTCATATCAGGACACATGTTCCCAGGCAGATCATTAGTAATTCTTCAAAACTGCATTTTTAGAATAGTATCAAAATAACAGTATTTTCCCCCCACTTATGAAAAGAAAAGAAAATGTCAAAAATAAATTTTAGAGGTTTTTTGACTATCCTATGCATTAAACAGGTATAAAAGTAAACAATAGAAGCAACATACCTCTACATTCAAACAATAATATCACTAAACTAATGGTCCACTAATGATGGTTATCAAAATCACCTTGGTGAAGAAATAAAAAAAATGAGTACCAAATATATGTGTTGGCACAACAATAGGATAATCTGTACTCTGTCATAGGCAAAGTACTTCCCTGAATTATCAGGTATTGTCTAAGGTAGGCAAAGCAATGAAGCGTGCTATTCCTTAGACAATGAGGGATTATGGAGGACATCTCCTAATCTTAGGTGAGCGAAATTCAGAAATTCCTGAAGTGTGCGAGAGTTCAAATCAGACAATTGTAATCTTGTCTTGAGTGAACGAAAGTTTACTTTTTGATTGCAGGGTAATATAATGGATTACACTTAAAACAACTCCCTATGGGGTATATATAAGATCATTATATATTTGATCATCATGTCACAATGGCTAATGTTCAAGATAATGTTTATTGAGAACAGACGATGTGGTCGAAGTTTAGTTCAATTTGGCACAATAAATGAAATTCAATTCTTTTGAACAGGAAGAACACTTCTGTCTGCCTTAACAGAATGAACAATAGGTACTATGAATGGTCTTTGAAAAAGTTTGGCTTTCATAATTTGTATAATAATCTTTCTCTTTAGAATATCAGCAGTTTGCATAAATTTGAAATAGACAACATCATTGTAATGAAAACTAAAGGAAGAATCAGTCTGTTTCCTTTCACAAAGGTCTCCTTGGGATGTTCCCTGGTATAACTGACTTTTTTACCTTTGTTTTAACATATTATTAGAGAAATATCATGCCATTGGATAAAAGAATGGTATACATTGCTGCATTACTACCCAAAAGATTTTTTGAAAGTTCAAAGCTTGATTGGGAAACATTCTAATATCTCAGTGTTTATCTTTGGATCTTGTCAGTTCATCACTGAACTTTATCCAATTGGATGTCCTTGATCCAGTAAATATGTCAGATACAACCCAGTGCTGTAGCAGACCAAGAACCTGGCAATATGCAGGGGGGTACTCCAAATCAAAAACATAGTAACTCCCAAGGAGACTGATCACTGCATCAAACAATGACTGTGTTTGAAGAAAAATCTTTACATTGTCTCCTACAATGAATTGGCATAGGATGTGTTTTGAGCTGTCAAGGAAGACCACAAGATGAGGAGCCTCTTCCACAATGTACTGGCATAGGATGTGTTTTGAGCTGTCAAGGAAGACCACAAGATGAGGAGCCTCTTCCACAATGTACTGGCATAGGATGTGTTTTGAGCTGTCAAGGAAGACCACAAGATGAGGAGCCTCTTCCACAATGTACTGGCATAGGATGTGTTTTGAGCTGTCAAGGAAGACCACAAGATGAGGAGCCTCTTCCACAATGTACTGGCATAGGATGTGTTTTGAGCTGTCAAGGAAGACCACAAGATGAGGAGCCTCTTCCACAATGTACTGGCATAGGATGTGTTTTGAGCTGTCAAGGAAGACCACAAGATGAGGAGCCTCTTCCACAATGTACTGGCATAGGATGTGTTTTGAGCTGTCAAGGAAGACCACAAGATGAGGAGCCTCTTCCACAATGTACTGGCATAGGATGTGTTTTGAGCTGTCAAGGAAGACCACAAGATGAGGAGCCTCTTCCACAATGTACTGGCATAGGATGTGTTTTGAGCTGTCAAGGAAGACCACAAGATGAGGAGCCTCTTCCACAATGTACTGGCATAGGATGTGTTTTGAGCTGTCAAGGAAGACCACAAGATGAGGAGCCTCTTCCACTTGGCTGTGCAGATGTTTTTGAGGAACTGTTTCCACACTCTTCACATCCTGTTAACATAAAATAACATTTTGTTACGGCTGAATATTGTCAGTTTACAAGTTGATCTCACAACAGCATTAAGTAAATGAAACATCTATTCTTAACTATACTGCTATTTGCAAATAAAAAATATCTTAAATATATCTTTATCATAAAGGTATCACCTGTCCTTGCAGTCTAATGCATTTCCATTTGTCATAAAGCTGATCATAAGCACTTACTTCAGGAATGAAGTAAACCAGTTTTCAAGTGTAACAATACTTACAGTAGAACATCATTTTCAAAAAATCTTACATTGACTATGGTAATGCAGGTCTTTGACTTCAAACCCTTGCCCTTTGCTTGGAAACAAGCTTCTACAAATCCCGAACAGTTGGATGCTTTTTCAGCATCAGTACCCTGAAAATTTGAAACAATAATTATTGAAATAAAATTTCCAATTACATGTTAACCCAGTTTGAAACAATAACCATATCAAATCAATATTAATTAACATATTAAGGTATCACAGAGGGTTAGTGAAATTAGTTAAGTATTTTGATAGTTCACCATATCTAAATAGAAACATATTAAATTATGATATTAAATAATATAAGCCATATGACAAGCAACTTGTAACAAGAAATTGAAAAAATATACATCTTGAGTTTTCTGGAGCCATTAATACATGCCTCAGGTGCAGTTTTTTTAGATACGACAGTGTGCATTATCCATTTCATATTTCTGGCAATTTCTTCCCTCGCTTCCTCTGGATCATCACTGCGTTGGCAAAAGAATTCATACACCAACTGAAACAGTATGTTAGAATGTATTTAATGATTAAGAGGCACAAAGACATGCAACAGGGCTTGCCTGCTTGTTCAATATAAGATTAACACTAGAACAACAATGACCATAAATCAACTAATGTGCTAACACTGTACAAGTACTTTTGTACACCTGTAATGTCCGTATATAATAAATAGGGTTTAAGGACACATGAAGATGTCCATGGTAGTACTTTAGGGAAACTAAATTTGAAACAAAATTTGCTGTTGAATAAGCTCAAATGATTTATACTTACAAAGCATCCTTCCTCAAAACAAGGGAACTTTTCTAAAATGGGCTCAATCTTCCCAGGCTTCAAGGTGGTTTGCCACTCTTTGCGGAATTGTCTTGTCTGTTTTAGTAGAGTTTGCAGATGAGTAATTGATTGCTTTCCTTCCCATTCCTTCTTTATTTCATCAAGATGGGATGCAAAATCTTTCTCTGATGTCACACCTGATGATTTATTAGCCATCTTGAACAACTTCTGAGGTTGTGCATCTTCAGAATCCTTAGGCGCAGGTCTTGTTGATTTTGCATTGTTTTGAAATCTATTGGTGCGGCATCGCTGACTCAATTTGGACACAAAAAAGCTCTGAAAAGACACAATAGGAGAGTTTGTTTTTAACCTCCGATTAGAAGGAAGGAGTGTGTTTCTTGGTTATAGCAAACAGATAATATTGACTTTACCTTTATACGAATTCACAAATTGGGGTATTGAGTCTCATGCATTTATTTAGGAAAAGAACATTCAGACAAGAGTGCTTTTAAATCACAAGCTCTTACTGAAATCTAACAGAAGAGTACCTAATTCTAAATCATATGCAGTTCAACCAAAAACATTATCGGAAAATAATTACTCTGTGATAAAACAAAAAGAATCACAGAATATCAAGTTCTGTAATACAAGAGCCATATATGTTGAAATTGGTAAAAGTCGAGTACTTGGGATATGTGAACTATCAGTATGTATGCACTTTGACACTACATCACTGAATAAGAGATATAAACTGAAACCAACTCAAACTTACCCAAAGTGTCTTGCCATGTGCATAGGCCAATGAAGGATATTTTGCCACCATCCTCCTGGACGATTGATTGATAGTATGGTGAAGATGACATTGATGGATAAACAGTTGTGTAAACTGTTTCACACTGCTTCAATACAGAGTTAAAAATCTGGCTGCTCCTTTCACCTGCTTGAAGGGCTGCAATCGTAGTAGGTGCAAGATCAGGAAGGGGATCCTGTCTGGTGTTGGCAGCCCAGACAGTAGACTGCGGCTTGAGAGATCTGCTGAAACAAAATGAAAGTATCATGTCACTTAATGTGGAAGTAAGTGGGAACCTGAAGACCACATTTAGGTTAGGTCAGAACCATAATGGAAATGTAATGATGTTCGAATGTATTTATTTCTCTCATCTTATTGTTTGTAGATCATAATTCCAGAAAGTCAGACAGGTCAATTTCTCGGTTCCTGTCAAGAATATTGAATTACATTTTCCCAGTGAACAATATACTCGATTTAAATCTACAATGATACAATAAATATTTGAGTTGAAATACTCACCTGAAGTTCCAAGTAGGATAAGTTCATAACATTGTTTTGTTTACCTGACTGGGAGTTGCACTGATTCAGATGTTTTAGATAAACGTACACCACCCATTTGACTATGTGGTTGCCCAGTCTAGGTTATGACTCACTGTTTACACATGATCTTAGACTTCCAGCATCAATACAACATGTAAACATTAATATGTGAACATTATCTTCGCAATGTCATCAATGTGTGTACTATATTTTCGCATAGCGCTTTACCTGGGGAGAATAATGACAACGTCAGCTTGCCCAGTCTTCTAAAAATGGCGAGGATCGTGCAGTGGAATGTGTAAACCCCGTAGATGACGTTTGACGGCACTTTTGGAAGATGACGGCACTGTTGCCGTAGAGTTACCTCCTTTGGTTCATTTGTCACAATGTCATGTTACATACATAATGACCTGTCTCAATAAGTGATACCTATTTTTCATGGAAATAATGAAAATGATACTAATATATCCCGTGTGTGGGTTACCACTTTTCCCTACTTTTTAGCGAACTGGCACGCCACATTCTAAAAATAACTTATTGCCTCATCAAAGCGTTTACGTCTTTAGGCTACGATCGCGCGAGTTGACAGACGATATTCGCATTGAAATCACTGCGTTTTGAACATGCTGACATCCATTTGAAGATATCTAAAGAATGTCTAGGTATCATGTAATATGAGGCCGGTAGAGATGCAGCGATTGCCTCGATCACCATTCATTGGCGCCAAAATGTATCGAGGCACGCTTGCGTTGACAGATTAACACTATAATGTTAATAAAGAAGAGAGATATATTAACACTGGTGTAAATAAATGAACACTGATGTTAATAATATTACGTAAGTCGTACTTGTATGCAAGTAATATTACGTGTATGTGTAAAACAAGGAGTACGACATCTTATTCCATTTAGCCCAATGTTATTTCAATTAGATTAGTTAGAGGGGCAATAACTTTAGACCAACTTTCCAGCTGTACAGCACATTTAACCAAAATGTCTGAGGTAAGATTAGTTATTTTTAAATATTTCGAACACATTACCATATCTAATATGATACACATTTTCATTAACAACAAGATCTATCGTACTCATCGCTGTGCATTGACATTGTTTGAAGATGTACATAGGCTACCACACATTAACGCCTGTGTTATATGATTAACATCAAGGCGATGGCAAATCAACACCTGAGGTTTCCGTATAAACGGAGGTGTTAAATATTTAACATATTAACGCGTTAATGCCTAACACTATTTTTTACAGTGTATGGCATGGTCCTTGGGGTAGTCGCTGGTGTCGTACAAATCGAGGTGTTTTTTCATGTCCTCGTACACGTCCTCGGTTTGAATCTCCATCAGCAGGGAATCCGTGTCAGTGTACAGCACTTCACACCTGTCGTCGTACTGTTTCTTAAGCTCGTTGTAGTAAAAGTCGTACATCAGGTGTTTGGATAAATCGAGGATGCTCATCCCCACGTAAACAGGCCGGTTGAATTTTATGTGGCTTTTCTTCATGTGTAGGGCAACTAGGTCATCGGTGAATATCTTGCTACGGTTGAATGCCGGACTGGCTATCAGTCTCCTGAGCTTGTCTTCCTCATTCGACCGAACCAGCTTCACGGTCACGCGTTTCCTCAGGTTCTCCATAGTCTTACCGAACACCGAGTTGTTCATGAGCTTGTAGAGATTTTTCTCAAAGTCACTGGTGGCAAGCTTTCGGAGGTCTGTGTTCATTCTGATGTAAGGCTCCATCCATGGGCTCTGGTCGAACACGAGCACCCTGTGTATTTTGGTCAGCCTCATACCCAACGACAGGTACAGCTGTAGGTTGCGATAGTGAACTATGTACTTGGTCTTATTCATTAAGTTAGGCACGAGTTTTTCAACGTCTGCCACCCGCCCACCTAACAAGTTATGTTGGTACTCAGACATCCAGTCTGGGTTAACCCTCATACGTTCGGGGGGCCAGGGGGTAGCTGTTGTGTGATGTGTGTAATACCTTGGGGTATTCTAAGTCAACCTCGAGGATATAACCTTTGTTTGAATCTGGTGCGATGCTCATAACATCGACCTCCTGTGGCACCCATTCGAATCCCCCTGTGGGTAGATACTGGCTCATAGCCCAGCCGTACAGGTTGTTGGCGTCGAGGTAGAGAATGTGATTGGTTGGCTTGCTAGGGTCGTAACCCTTCACGTATTGATTATTTGCTTTCGCGTATCGTTTGGTTGCCATGGAGATCCCGCCTCGCAAGCCTTTCTCAATGAATAGGTGCATGTCATAATCTGTAAGCAATTCCAACTTAACTCCGGTCTTTTTAAGCAAGGCATCCCACGACAGACCTGGGCTGGTGTAATACCATGCGGGGTCGAGTTTATACTGCTTGAAACATGTCCGCCTAAACGTCTCAAACACGTCGGCTAACAGCAGTACATCTGTCCTCAAGTACAGGTCGTGATAATCCCCCAGGTTCTTACAACCCAGTTTATTCCATACGTTAATCGCGTGCGAGTAATCGTCTTGGGATATTTCCGAGTCGGTCAGATTGCTGTAAAATTCTCTGATGGGAGGTAGTCTGGTCTCGGCGAACTTGGGCCAACTATCCATGTACTCATAGGGGTACACACCCTTCCTCATAAGCAGGGGTCTAGTCTCGGCGTCTGTGTATCGGTCGGTGATAGGGAAGGTATCGTTGGCCTTGACCAGACTGTCTAATGAAGACAATAGAAATTGTACTGAATCTATAAACCTAAGGCCGTTTAAGCTGAAGGAGATGTATCTCTCCATGTTGTTGGGGATGCACGTTATATTACCATCGATTTTCGCGATGGCCTGCATGATCAAGTGTGAGTCGTACCCTCTCAAGTTGTGAAAGACAACGGGGATGTTTATTATCTTAGGGTTGATTCTAAGCTTGAGGTTACACGCGCTGTGAGCGGCGCCTCTATACTTACCGGTTACGTGACAGTGATCTCTCACGGAATCACCATTCAGTGGTGAGTCGCACACGTGACAATTAGTGCTACAGGCGTGAGCTAGTCGGTCGGCTCGGGTCATACGCATGGGAGCGACTCTATACAGTGCATTCCTAATAATTTTTTCTTCCTCCTGCAAACACTTTAGAAACCTTTCAGCCGCGTCGGGACCCCTGTACACTACCGGAGCTTTCGTTTCCCCGTCACAACGGACGACCACGTATCCAAACCCACAGGCTTCATGCTCCTGTGTTTTGAGTGTGGTTGGGGTATCCCCAACAACCTTAATAGGTTTGACCAAGGCTTCAAAGTCGGCGTATATGATATAAGGCACAGACATTTGGTTCTTGTGGTTGTCGAATTTTAGGATATTGTCACCTTCCTTGGGCATGTCGACCCGTATGGCCGTCTGCCCCACACCTTGGCAATCCTCCCGGTGGGATTCTAATAAATCAGCTCGGCTGAAACCGTGTAGGCATCGCACACAAAAGTGTTTTTTCCCAACGTGTTTCGACTGGTCGTGCAACAACCGGCTGAGATGTTTTATCCACGTGTAGTGATACTTTTCACCTCGTTGGATCATGAATATATTGATAACTTGGCGACCCTTCTCCCCCAACGATGGGCTGACCCTGTGTACTATTGTTGTGTTACCTTCGTGCCCAAAGACATTTATAGCTAGATTATTCTGTTTTTCTACTTTAGTGATCTGGGATATGGGGGTTGGTTCATCTATACCATCCCAGTTGAGCCCATCATCTTGGGGATAGCTAGAAAGCCTGTCTGAATGAGTGTCAGCTGGAAACAAGGCTGACCTGATAGCTACCCTCAGGCAATCGTCTCCTCTATTCTTGACGTTTACCATGGCCTGTTTTTTCCTATAGTAGGGGGGGGCAAGTCTAGGTATGACCCGCCTCTGAACGGCACGTAGTTAGCTATGTCTAGATAGACATTATCGATTTTATCTACAGCCCACCCGGACCCCAAGTGTGTGTAGCGTTCTAGGTATTCCCGTATCTGCTGAAAACTGGTATCGATCGATGCGTCTATGGTCTCTGTATGCGTGACAACCTCTTGCCTACCTCTGAAGTAAGGCTGAACGTACTCAGTGACCCCTCCCCCAACTTGCTTATCGAGTGACATTTTAACTGTGATCTGAAACTTGATGCTTCCCAGACTGGTTAGTTCCTGATTTATTTTATCAGCTATCAGTGGCTTAATATCTGTAATGTCTATGTTCCTATCAACATGCATGCGCCAGCCTCTTAAATAATTACCTACAGCGCGCTCAGTGGGTATGAACTGTAGGTCAATAGCTCTATTCTGCCGTAACAGTTCTACAAGCTGTGGTTTTGTCGAGGATATTGGAACGCGTTTGCGTCTGCGCACCCAACAGCGCCCACACGTACGTTCGAATCGAGTCGTTTAACCTGATTACCCCGGCACGAGTAAACCCTTTCGATGTGTCCAGCATGAACTTTTTCCAGTCATCCGCTGCCCCCTGCTCAAACCTCCAGACTCTG